GCAAATGCAAAAGAAAACCAAATATGCATACATTTTGTCAAGCACTTTGTCAATTTTTAAACTCAAACTTCAAAGCCTCAAATGCAAAAACATAAAGAATATGAAATGTTCCAGAATGAATTTAGAATATGCTTGAATTTGTTTAGATTTTTTGAATGAGATTTGCTTCTGTTTTGAGTCTAAAAACCAACAACATGTATAGAAAGAATGTAAGCAAAACAAGTGTAGAAGATGCAATCAAATGGGGCATGAGAATGCTTCAAAGTCAGAATATGATTCAAAGTAGAATGATCAAATATGAGTCAAGAATTCACACACCAAATTTCAAAGCAAAATCATGTACCAAATGGAAAATATGCACAAAACGGTGAACACACAAATGATGCAAAATACACCAAAAACGATAAGGCAAAAAGTCGAACGGAACAAGTTCAAAGGTTCTACGCAAAATTTAAAACAAAGAGAATCGAACGACATAAGTTCAAAGGTTCGACTCCATGATGAGGAGATCAAAGAACCATACTCAATATGCGTTCGACCCAAGTTCAAAATGACGCCACCCAAATGGGCAAAAGTAAAATCCGAGGTGAACAAAACGGTATCCACAAAACAAATGGAAGATCACAATGACAAAAACGGTATATTCACAATGATATCAATAATATAATCACAAGTAATATAGTATAATGAAAGTATAAGAAAAAAGTATAAGGTGCAAGAAGAAAATATAAGATATAATAGTATAATATAGTATAATATATACATAGTAATATTTTCTGATTTAAAGGCAACAAAACAAACAATAGTGGTTGAATGTTGTATCGAAGTTCAAGTTTGATGAAATTCCATCAGAGGATTGATAGAATCAAAGCCTCTACACAATGAAATTCACATTTATGAACTAAGAACAACAAGTAACCATCATTGGCCTTACGCAGCATAAAGCTCGGGCCACGAATGTTCATTTTCCGATTGGGGTAAAATGTTGCGCTATGTTAAGCAATCGCCAAGTAACTTATATAGAAGTCACCCTACAACGAAGCCGGTCTTGACTATATGTGCTAATGCATGCTTGAGTAATGGTATATAAACCATGCTCGAAGGAAGCAATACCGCACGAAAAGAATAATGGTGAATAGTCTCTTTTCGATCACGATTCAAAGTGAAATCGTATGATCCATAAACGTCATCGACCAAAATAAAGAGAATAAAGATGGAAAGGGAAGTATACGTAAGAGGACTTCACATCTCTAGAAGGGGTGGACTCAAATGACCAAAAAAAAACAAAGAGAAACAAATGATTAAAAGTGAAAATCGACAATATTTACACGATTTTAAAAAAGTTGGTGAAAACACCTTTGAAAAATCCAGAAAAAATATAATCAAATACTACATAATATTATAAGCTTAAAATATTTTTTTTGGAATTTTTTGATGTATTATGCAATAGTTATGAAATTAAACTCAAATAAGCACAAAAATCGACTAAAAATAAAGTCGAAAAACCAAAATCAGAAAACATATGCAATATATATATATATATATATATATATATATATATATATATATATATATATATATATATATATATATATATATATATATATATATATATATATATATATTTGGAAAGAGGAAAAAAAATGCAATCAAAAGTTTAACTAACACAAAGTCAGATTCACAACCAATTAAGGGTTATTGAGAAAAAAACCTCAGGGGTGTATGAGTGATACGGGAGGTGAAATAGAAAATTCTTGGGCTTAGCTCTTGGGTCCAATTCTGGCCAGAGGGAAGGTGTATTCAGCAGCTTGGGGAGGTGTAGTAGCAAGTGCGTTTGGGCCTTGAAAATAAGTCCAAGTCTGGTTTCCAGGGGGGTGCAACGAAAAACAGGTGCAAATAATAGTCAGATTTGGGCTTATGGATTCACTTTAGGTCCAAAAATTTTAAATCTTAAAAATAATTGTAATAATAAAAAAATATTCATAGGGGATTCATTCTCCCATTTTCCAAATACGATCCCATCAACATTTTTGTTATCATTTTTTTTTTTTGCTGTTTTTTTTTTTGGTAGAGAATGAAGGTTGTGGGGATGACGGTGGGTTGTGGAGGAGGCGGACGGTGGAGGTAGGATGTGGGTTTTGATGCGGGTGGAAGGAGGTGGAAGACGGAGAAGGGAAAGTCGGTGTGGTGGGGGATGTTAGTGGTGGGTCACAGCGGCTGGGTTTTGAGGTGGTGGTGGTGGTCACCAGTTTTCGAGAAACAAGGGTGTGTATGGTGGTGAACAACGGTGGTGGTGGAGATGTAATCGGTGATGGTGGTTTTGGTTGTGGAGGGTGGTGGCGGATCGGAGGTTGGGTCGCTGCCGGAATCTGGAATTGGGGTGGGGGACGATGGTTTTTTTTAGTGAGGTTAGGTGGTTTGGTGGTGTTGAAATGATTAATGGTGGTGGAATTGAAAACTGGAAAAGGGGAGGACGGACGGGAACGATGGTGGTTTGAGGCGTGATGCTGGGTTTTGGGGTTTGATGGTGTTGCGATGAAGGGGACGATAGGTTCGTGGTGGATGGTGGTTGTGTACGGCGGTGCGGTGGACGAAGGGTGAGGGGTTTGGAGAAAGGGATTTGTGTGTGGTGCGGTGGTTTAGAAACGGTGAAGGTGTGGTGTTTAATGGCGGGGATGGGTGGTGGCATTTGCGGTTGGAGGTGGAAGAGGAAAGGGATCGATGGGAGATGATTTTGTGTCAGTGAATTGAATGGTGAATGAGAGGATGCGAGGATTTGGTTTTCGGGGTTTTACGTTTTTCCTTTGTGAACCAAAACCCCTCCCTTAGATTACTACAATACATGTTAATATAGTAAAAAAATAAATTAAAACTAAAACTAAAAACTATTAATAATTAATAATATTAATTAATATAATAATACTAATAATAATAATATATAATATATAATAATAATAGATAAAAATAATAATAATAATAAATATTAATAATAAATATTAATAATAAATATTTATAATAATAATTAATAATAATACTAGCAGAGCGGCGATCGTGGTTCTCTGGGTTTTTTCACGGTGATCTGAAACAGTGGTGCCTCCTGGGATGGGGAGGGGAAGAGGAAGGCCGCGAAAGAAGGTTTCTTCAACTCAATCTCGTCCAATGGTGATAGAGGTGAACAACAAGATGGGAGAAGGGGAAGTAAGTGGACATGCGATGAATGAATCAGGTGAGGAGGACTATGAAGAAGGGGAAATACTGGTGGATGAAGATGATGAAATGATGATGGAGGAAATACCAGTGATCAGAGTAGAGAAAAGTTCTGTGAAGAAGGTAGAAGAAGGTATTGTGAAGGAAGGAGAAAAAAAGTTATGGGTGGATGTAATAAGTGGCAACAGAATTCCATCAAATGGCATGAAGATGGGTTACATCGCACCAAAAATTGTTGAAGGAGTACCGGAGGTGGAAATTGAAGCAGATGATATATCTTCGGAAATCCAATTTTGGGACAATACCTTGATAATGTATGTTCTGGGTAAGGAAATGAGTCTAAACGCAGTTAAACAATTCATGGTGAGATTCTGGAATTTCGTTTCTCTGCCTGAGCTTTACTATCATGATGAAGGCTATTTTCTGCTGAAATTCAAGTCTGATGAAGATAGGAGTGCTGTGTTAATGAAGGGCCCGTATTCGATACATAATGCTCCGATGGTCTTAAAGGAATGGTTCCCAGGTTTCGACTTCAAACAGGATATGGTACGCACAATCCCAGTTTGGGTGACATTCCCAAATCTACCTTTGCATCTATGGAGCAGCGCCACAAGTCTGAGTAAAATATCAAGTGTGATTGGTAAACCTCTGTTCGCTGACGAATGCACATCTCATAAATTCAGGGTCTCGTATGCTAGAGTGTTGATTGAGATTGATATAACTCAAAAACAGAAAGAGTATACTAATAAAAGACAACATGGGGAGAAAGATTGAGCAAAGTGTGGAGTATGAGTGGATGCCAAAATTCTGTGACAAATGTATGAAGGTAGGCCATCAATGTAAGATCCAGAAAAAGATTACAAATAAAGTATGGCAGGCAAAAGAAGGGAACATTCAAGGGACTCAAGTGGCAATGCAGGATGAGAACAGGAATGTAGAAGCAGAAAGCTCAGGGATACAAAGCATTTCTAATGATGACCAGACTGTGGGGGAGGAAGTTATGGTGACTAGAGAGAATGATGGAAGTGCAGATAAAGAAGGAAAAACCACAGAATGGAAGACAGTAGTGAGCAGGAACAAAGGAAAGTTTGTTGAAGAAGAGGATAAAAACATGACACCATGTCATAATGGATATGCAATCTTAAGGAGCTGGGATGATCCTGAGATTACCAAAGACCATATCAAATGATCTTCTCTTGGAACATAAGAGGCCTGAATAAAGCAGGGAAGATTAAGGAGGTAAATAATAGAATTAGAAACCTCAACCCTGGTATTGTGATTTTGATTGAAACTAGGATTAAAAGAAATAAAGCCAAAACTATTAGAGACAAACTGGGTAGTAGCTGGAACTTCTTAGATAATTACAATAAACATGAAAATGGTAGGATTTGGGTTATGTGGCAGGAGATGAAGCTGGACATCAAGTTGATCAATACTAATGCCCAATGTATTCACTTCAGTTTTATGTACCAGAATAGGAAGATTGTTTGCTCAGCTGTGTATGCTTTTAACCATATGGCTGAAAGGAAGACTCTGTGGAAGGATTTGATCAGTATGAAAGATACTTATAACAGGCCGTGGTTTGTTATGGGAGATCTCAATACTGTTATCTCTGTTCATGACAGAATTGGTGGGGCTGTTGTCCAGGAATGTGAAATGGAAGATATCAAGGGGATGATGGAGATATGTGGATTGTTTGAAAAGGATAATCAAGGTGATTATTATACGTGGAGCAACAACCAAAGGACTGGAACCATCTACTCAAGACTTGACAGAGTTTTGGGGAACATTCAATGCATCAAATGTTTGTGGATCATACTTTGTGGGTGAAGGAACCTGGCATTTCTGACCATGGTGTTTTGTGGTTGCAGGACAAGGTGCCAAAGAAGGTGAAGAAGTATGAGTTCAAATTCCAGAATCTGGTAATTGAAATGGATGGTTACAAGGAGAGAGTCCAGCAGAGTTGGGGGCTGCATGAGCAGGGCACTAAGCAGTATGTTGTGTGGCAAAAGCTGCTTAGACTCCAAAAAGTTATAAAAAGTTGTAGCAAGCCTATCATTGGGCTTTCTAGACAGATTGAGGAGGCCATGAGAAATCTTAGTAAAGCTCAAGAAAACCTCATGAGAAACAGATTCAACACAAAGGAGATAGACACAATGAAGCAGCGGATGGCTGAAATCAACAAGCTTCAAACCTGGGAGGAAAAAGCTCTGAGTCAGCGTGCTAAAATTAATTGGCTGCGCCTTGGTGATGGGAACAATAATTATTTTCATGCCCATCTGAAGAGCAAATGGCACAAAAGTACTATCAGTGAGCTTATTAAAGAGGATGGTTCCAAAGTGACTAGTCATGAAGAGATGGAAGCTGAGATTCTGAGATTCTACAAGGAGTTGGTTGGCACTACTCCTACTAGCATCAAGAAGATTGATATTGTGGCCATGCGTAATGGGCGACAATTGACTAAAGCCCAAGGTGATGTCCTTACGAAAAAGATAGAAGATAAAGAGATTTGGTATGCCCTGAAGAACATCAATGATTCCACAGCCCCTGGTATTGATGGGTATAGCTCGAAGTTCTACAAAAATGCTTGGCCAATCATCAAGGATGATCTGATAGCTGTTGTTAGAGAATTTTTTGAGAAAACTAAACTGTATAAACCGTTGAACTATTCTGTTGTTACGTTGATTCCGAAATTTGCAGGTGCGAACAAGATGAAAGATCTGAGGCCAATTTCCTGCTGCACTGTAGTCTACAAAATCATCTCAAAGATTCTGGCCAAAAGACTTGGAGCAGTGTTGAGTAATGTGGTTAACTACAATCAAACAGGTTTTGTCCCAGGGAGACATATCCAGGACCACATTTTGTTGGCGACAGAATTGCTTCGAGGATATCATAACAAGGTTGGGGCTCCTAAATGTATGGCGCAAATGGATTTACAAAAAGCGTACGACTCGGTTGTGTGGAGTGCTTTAGAAGAAATCCTTAAAGAGTGCAGTTTTCCTCCTAAATTTGTGAACTGGATTATGTGTATGGTGGGTACTGTATCGTACAGGTACAAGATTAATGGGCAAACTACTAAAGTTTTGAGTGCTAGGAGGGGGCTGCGGCAGGGAGACCCAATATCCCCCATGCTGTTTGTTTTGGTTATGGAGTACCTCCATCGGTTAACGGACAAGCTGCAGAATAACACCAGGTTCCAATTTCATTCTCGTTGTGATAAAATCAAGATTGTTGAGTTGAGCTTTGCTGATGACCTCTTAATGTTTGCTAGAGGGGATTCTCAATCGTTTTAAGAAATGCTCAAAAGTTTTAATGACTTTTGTGAGGGGACCGGGCTTAAAGCTAATCCTAGTAAATGTTTTCTTTATTGCTGTAATGTGAACCAGGAAACGAAGAGGCAGATGTTGGAGATGTCTGGCTTTGGTGAAGGAACCTTCCCGTTTCGATACCTTGGCATCCCTATCATGAGTAAGAGGCTTTCAACACAGCAGTGTCACAGTATAGTGGAGAAAATTGTTGCTAACATCAGCCATTGGAGCTCTCATCTCTTGAGTACTGCTGGGCGGAAGCAATTGGTGCAGAGTACGATTTTCTCGATGATTAATTACTGGCTTCAGGTAATTCCTATGACTAAAAGAGTAATTAACATGGTGGAGAAAGTTTGTAGAAATTTTTTGTGGACAGGGACTGTTGATTCAAAGAAAGCCCCGGTTGCTTGGTCTATGGTTTGCAGACCCCAAAAATATGGTGGTCTGGGAATTATTAACTTGCAGATCTGGAATTTAGCTTGTATTGGGAAGCTGTTGTGGAACTGGTGTAATAAAAAGGATAGCCTATGGATAAAATGGGTTAATATCTACTATAGCAAGGAGGAAAATGTCATTAATCTGAATGCTAAGCAGAGTTTCTCATATACGGTAAAAGCGATTCTGAATAGTAAGAATTCTATTGTTAGCAAACAGGCCTGGAGTAATGCTAATAATACTGGCAGCTATAATACTAGTGAGATGTATGGAGAAATTCTAGAGAATGTGTTCCACTTGGAGTTGGCTAGCTGGAGAGCTATTTTCTATGGCAACATGGCGCGGCCTCGTGCTAAACTCCTTCTATGGAATGCGTGCCATCAAAAGCTTCCAACTAAAGAGAGACTTTTAAGGTTTGGGTTGATTAATGAAGCCAAGTGTAATTGGTGTGCAGAGGTAGAAACTCAACATCATTTGTTCTTTAATTGTCATGTGTTGAGAGAGATTTGGGCCAAGGTGCTGAAGTGGATTGATGTTGATCACAATCCTTTAGACTGGAATAAGGAAGTGAACTGGATCATCAAGGAAGGAGGTAAAAAGAAAGCTAATTACAGAATTTTGAAGACTGCTTTTACTGAGGCTCTTTATGAAATGTGGGCACTCAGAAATAGAGAGCTCTTTAAGAATAGTAAGAATAATGTAGATGTCTTGAAGAGAATAGAGGATAGTATTGTGTATAGGAGTTGGCATAGCAAAAAGATTAGGATTTGCATTAGCAAACTCTTGTTGCCTTAGGTGAGTTGTGGCTAGCTGGAACTTCGGTTCGCTTGATTTGTATTGTTTTTGATTAAATATATTTTATTTGATTCAAAATAATAATAATAATAATAATTAATAATAATAATAATAATAATAAATAATAATAGTAAATAATAATAATAGAAATATTAGTAAATAATAATAATAAATAATAATAGTAAATAATAATAATAGTTAATAATGATAATAGTAAATAATCAAAAATCTGAAAATATAATTTATACATCACAGTGTCATGTGTCACCATGTTATTGGTGCAAACATGTGGCACATGGACATGTGGAAATGCTTGATTAATTAAATCAAAGAAAAACTTAATTTAACAAATGTCTAAAATACCCCCCCTGATTTTATTTTTAAAGTACTTATTTTAAATGACTCAAAAAACATTTTTTGCAATTTTTATAAAATGAGAAACGATCGGAATTAACTGAAAATAATTAAAATAAAATGACTGCTGAACCGAAAAAATAAAATGCGCGCGTCGACACGATCGACTCGTGGCGACGGTTATGAAAAGTCTTCGGAATTTATTAAAATCGAAAGTAAAAATATCCGATAAAACTGACACAGACAGTTTAAAAACGACTGAAATGAAGTCGAAAAATTCTAACGAGCAAACCAAAATAACCTATGCGGAATATCGATTCAAGAAATGTGGAGTTCGATTTGAAAACTCGAAAGAAATATTCGCAACATTTTCATGAAATCGGCCAATAAAATAACTGATTCATTTATTTGACTGAAAATTAATTTTGAACGCACTGACACAAACTACGCGACCGGAAGTCTCATAAAATGGTCATTTTCAGGCGTAAACTGAAAAGAAATATTTTTAACTTTTGCACGCAGTCGAATAAAAATTCGACTGGTCTGTTTAAAAGACTGGAATTTTATTTTAAAGACTGTGAACTGGTTCAAACAGACGCATGAACTATGAAAATGCATGAGATGCAATTAACTCGATCTTATTGTTTTAAAATGATACGCAAACTAATCGGAAACCCGATTTTACTGATGCTAAATGCAGACGATGTGAAATGCGACTATATTTTTGCTGTTTTGATGCACAATGATTATATTTACTGAATATGAATCGTAATGTGCTTATGATGCAAATGATTAAGCGAAAAGTAATGCGCGACTCGAGTTTGAACCAATCCACAATTATGCAAGACTCGAAACAGATGCAAAGCGAAAATGCAAGACACAAACTATTATTAAATGCAACAAACTGCCTTCAAGTCAGGCAACAAGAAAATGTCAGGGATATCACGAGTAAATGAGACAGCAAACCCTAGGCTAAGCAACCACTGATCAGAGGTAAACCAAGTCAATCCAGATGCTCATGCTTGTGATCATTCCTCGAAACTTGAATATGCATGAGTAAATATCATGATGAATGAAATCTTAGGGGTCAAAAATAGGGTTATGACAGTTGCCCCTATCGAAATATTCTTCAGCCATGAGAGCATTAGACCGATAGTTCTTTTGATTGAAGGGACTGAGAGTATTTCGATATGGAATACCTGATTTTTGTCCCTTAAGATGAATGAATCATGATGAATGCAAAATGCAATGCAAAGAACTTTAGACATACGCAATAGAGGATAAACTCTACTGGGGAATGACAGAGACTTGAAAACCCTTGACAGGAATGAAACTTCTCATTGTAATCGCAGCAGAACAATAAGGTTTACTACTCCATTTGTCAGTTTGCACTGAATGCAAATGGTTAAGCTCCTCTTCTTTTTAATTCCTTTCATTCGTCAGTTTGAATTGAACGCAAACAAATGGCTTTTCTTTATCTGTCGGTGTGATCATTCCTCAAAACTTGAATATGCATGAGTAGATATCATGATGAATGAAATCTTAGGGGTCAAAAATAGGGTTATGACAATGCCAAGCTAAGTTATGCACAAACAATAAGCAAACATAGCATTTACAAACAATGTATAAAAACAATCGAGTTCCACTCGATCAAAAACAAACAATTACAAGGCACAAGCCAAGTAATGAGAAAAGGGGTCCCGCCATAGCCAAGGAGAGTGAATCATCCGATTCAACCAAGCAATAGACCAAACGACTGTACAAATGATAAGTCGTTACTCAAAACAAGCCTTAACCACGATATCATATCATCGGGCAAGGTAGATGAAGAAAGAAAAGGTGCATGCGTACATCAAGCGTCAATGTAGGACGACATGAGCTAAAGAAAGCGAGGGGACCGGTTGCATGATCCCTTACCTCTTACCTCATTGAGGGCTTTTCACTTGATTCAATCAATATCTTTTGGTACATGTTCAGAGCTCGGAACTTGCAAAATGTGAGCATATGAACGACATGGACTAGAAAATGTGGGGGTTGATTACTAACCCTACTCCACATACCTCTTTTAAGGTCTTTTATTTGCAAGCTGAAAAGTAAACAAACACAAACATTGCCTCCAAATGAGGACTTCCAGAATATTGCCGTCCAAGTGGTACGGTCTCCAGTCCTACTTATCATGGCATCAAAGGAAAAAGTGCAGAATAGGTAAAAGGTACAAGAGCACTACCAAGCAAGCAAACTCCGAAGCAAAGCTACGAAAGCAAGTGAGATATAGAAATATCAAGCAACTGAAACCAACAAACAAAAGAGTCAGAATAGTTCACATGATATATACAAAGCCAGAATATTGTTTGATTGCATAGGTGAATCACATTCATGTACAAAACCTGCAAAGCGAACACAATACAAACAAAATATGCACACAGTTTACAAAGGTAAATGGAAAGCAATGGGGCTTATCCTAAATGCAATGGTGCCCATGTAAAAACAATTGAGATATACACAAGGTAAGAAGTGAATCTCAAACAAATTATCAAAGAGAAAGCATGAATTGAATTGAAACACAAGAAGAAACAACATTTCACATGATTCACAAAGTACTACTTCACATGCCTTAACCAAAATGAGCTTCAACCATCAAACCAAATCAAAACAAATACCAATTGGAGACTTTATTGAACTTGTATAACACATGACAGGCCATTTAGCATTAAGAGGGAACCTATTCTAGGTGTACAAAGCCCTATGCATGTGGACTATGTGTAGTGTGTGTGAAAATTCAAAGTGACAAGCCTACCAAACAAAGTGAAACCACTTTCAATCAATATCCATCATATCATATCAAAGTCAGAAGTGAATGCACATGAAATATGCATCCAAGAGGCAGTAGGAACAAGTATTAAAAGCTCATGGTGATTAGGCATACAAGCAAAGGGTTATGAATCATGCAAACAGACCGATTTAAACTAAAACAAGATTTACAAAGGAAGTCCTAAAACAAAGATCCAAAACAGAAAAGTTTCTAAAGTAACCCTAGTTGAAATTACTTCAAAGTCACACTTGAATTTTTTTCATATTTTTCAGAATTGTTTTACTATTTAATTTGCATTTAAAATCTACCAAAAACAAGCAATTATGCATCAAATTTGGAAAAAATGGAAAACTCACACAAAAATGTCAATCATTATTTTTTACAGATGCCAAACAATGTTAATAAGGTTACTATATTTTTTGGGATCATTGTTTCAAGGGTTTTTATATTGAAAACAATTGATGAAAGAAAATGAGACACAAAACTTGCCAAACACCAAAATATTTACCACTGACCTCTAAACAGAAAATTGCCCTTTCCAAGTATTTTATTCAGAAAGCTCATATTTTTAAAAAAAAATCAGAATTAGTTTGGTCATTTTATCGTTTTTTATGAGTTTTATAGAAATTTCTTTGTAAAATTTAATTCTAATTGATTATTTACAAAGAATGGTGTGGAAAAAATATCAAATCAAGTAATTGAAAGTCAAGTGATTTATCCTAGGTTTAACATGTGATTAGGGATCATTCTAAATTTTTTCAAGATTTTCCATTTTTGTTTTCTATTTTTTATGAATTTTGGAAGTTTATGGTCAATTAAAATGCTAATTAATATAAAAAATGTGAAACTATGACCTAAACAGAGAATTGACCTAATAAAAAATTATCCTAATACCCTAATGTTGTAAGGATCACACACAAATGTTTCTAAAATTTTTGAATTCATTTTTGTATTTTTTAAGGATTTTTTATTGTTTAATATGTATTTATAAAGGAAAATTTCAAAACCTAGGTTAAACTAAAAATTGAATCCTATGCTTTTTATTCCAGATTCTTTACATTTTTAAGTTTCCAAAATAATTCTCTCACATTTTTATTTTCTGTTTTAGTATTTAATTTTATTTTTTGAAGTTTTATGGTATTTTTAATGGATTATTCATAAAGGAAATTCCAAATGCCTATCAAACTAATGAATTATAATCTGAAATTTTTTATTCAATTGACACATAATGTCAGGATGCTTCAAGATTTTTATTGGAATTTTTGGTGTGCTTTTTATATTTTTTTATGAATTTTGTATTGAAAAATGTCATTTAACCTTGAAAATTCTAATTAGTGACCTAAACTAAAAATTGAACCAAGATGAAAATATACCTAAGTCAGGGGTGTTTTAAGGTCCTTTCACAATTTTTTTGGTATTTTTAGTGTTTGGTTTATTATTTTTGTTTAATTTTTGAAGTTTATTCATCATTTAAAGCCCTAATTAATGAACAAAATGTGAAACTCTAACTAAATCAGTGAATTGGTGCACACCAAATTTTACACAGATTTTACATGTTTAATCAGAACTAGGTGAATTTTTGTAGGATTTTTAATGGTTATTTGATATTTTTTTTGGAATTTTTCATGATATTATTTATTTACCAAAAGAAAATTAAGAATGGCATTGTAAACCTAAAATTGAATTTCCAAAATTATATCACTAATTCAAGAAAATTATTTGTAGTTTATACAAATTTTTGTGGATTTTTTGTAATGCTTTTGGTATTTTTTGTGAATTAAACAAAACTGAATCAAATAATTAATTAATATTCCAAAGAAAATGAAAAATATAA